AAAGGTATTTTCAATGAATAAATCATTGGTTTTGCAAAATTCTATCATGCGATCTCCAGCATGATACCAAGGCCATATTTTCTAGCTATGAGTGATTCTTTTTTGTTTCCAACTTTTCTTGGAAACCTTTGTTTTCCAGTCACCAGTGATAAGCAACACATCTTGATTGCAGGTTTGGTCAATTTCAGAGGTTGATAAAAATCTCCAACTTCCTTATCTTAACTTTGGTGTTTGGTGCATAAATTTGAATAATAGTCATATTAACGGGTCTTCCTTGTAGGTGTATGGATAATATCCTCTCACTGACAGTACTGTACTTCAGGACAGATCTTGAAACATCTTTTGTGATGATGAATTCCACGCCATTCCTCTTCAATTTCTCATCCTGGCACAGTAGATCACATGGTTGTCTGATTCAAAATGCCCAAAATCCATCCATTTCAGCTCACTAATTCCTAGGATATCAATCTTTATGCATTCCATTTCATTTTTGACAACTTCCAATTTTCCTAGATTCATACCTTATACATTCCATGTTCCAATTATTAATGGATGTTTGCAGCTGTTTCTCCTCAATTTGAGGCATGCCATGTCAGCACATGGAGGTCCTGAAAGACTTACTTTATCCATATCATTGAGGTTGGTTCTACTCTAATGAGGCAGCTCTTTCCCAGTCCTATTTTGAGTGCCTTCTGACCCAAGGGGCTTGTCTTCCTGCACCGTCTCAGACAGTGTTTCCACGCTGTTCATAAAGTTGTGCAGTAATGTATCAGACAGTGTTTCTCTGCTATTCATAAGGTTTTCCTTGGCCAATTTTTGAGAAGTGGATGGCCTCCTCCTTCTTCCTAATCTGTCTCAGTCTGTAAGCTGCGTTCAAACCTGTGCACCATGTGCAACTCTGCTTGTGTTTGAAACACCAGTGGCACAGCCTCAAGCCTCACAGCAACGTACAAGCCCCACAGGATGACAAACTGACAGACAAGTTTGTCTCCCTTAGCTGTTGGAAACCTCTGAACCCTCCCCTTACCTAATTCCCACCTGGAACCTGCCACTTTGGGGTCCCCAGCCTCTCCCTCCTCTTCCTGGCTCTAGGGGCCTTGGGGCCTGCCTTGCCTCCCACTCCTTTTTTAACCTGGATATCCTGCTGCTGAGGTCCTGAGGCCCTGAGGCCTAGATGAAATCATTGACTAGGAGGCTAGAAGTCCAAATTCAGGGCGCCAGCTTTAGCAGAAGGCTTTCTCTCTCTTTTGGCTCTGGGGGAAGGGCCTTGTTTCCTTGCAACATCTTTGGGCTTGGCATCCCTTGGAGATCTCCGTGTGTCTTGATGTCACTCTTCCCCTGTGTCTAGGAGGTTCCCAGCTCTTCTTTCTTGCTCTGCCCCATGCCCCACCCCCCACCCAGTTCACTTAATGTCTCTTCTATTTTGTGTTCACTTTTTTCTTGGGCTCTCCAATCTCATTTTCATTTTCTGTTTCAGTTTTGCTATAACTTGCTTGTCCTCTTGTATTTCTGCTTAGAGCTTCTAATTTATCCATGTGATTTCTACTGCAAAGTTTTTGAATTTATGACAATATATTAGTGCACATTTAAAAAAAAAATCTGCTATAAGACATTTTTTCCGGTGAATGTTCCTCGTGTACCAATTTTTAAAATACATTTCTTATCCTTCTCATATAATAGCTCCTTTTGAATAAAATTGGCTGTTACTGGACCATTTATTTACAGAAGATTTGCTTGGGCAGAGACTGATGCCTTATTTGAGGCTAACAAAATCTTTTATATTGAGTTGTATATTATTAGTGAGAGCTATCTTGTAGTTACTTCTTCCCACCCGACTTTGAACAGCAGTTGTCGGTCTGAACATAGTGAAGTTCCTCTCTTCACCTTCTTGTCTCACCAACAGACTGCTTCTTGAAAATACAACTTGCCTGTGTGTTACTTCACTGAAGCATATCTTTTGTGCTTCTACTTGGTATCCAGTTGGGCCAGAGGTATTTCTTTCACTAACCTGCTTACTTGTTCCCAGCAAGGGCGTATTGGTTTTTCTCCTCAGAGCAAGCCATCTGCTTCCAGAAGGAACCGTTTCTCTTGGCATATTACCTGCTTTATTATCATAAAAAGCCCCGCTGAGAGCACATATTGAGCAAAGACTTCAGATGCAGCTGACATCTTAGCCATAGTGTGGGTGACAACTCAATCAGACGTGTCTGGATTTGTGCCCTGGCTTCTTTAGTTAGGAGTCCTGGTGGCACAGTGGTTAAGCATGTGGCTGTGAAATGAAAGACTGGACTTTTGAACTCATTGGCGACTCCATGGGAGAAAGATGTGATACTCTGCTTCCATGAAGATTACAGCCTTGACAACCCTCTGGGGCAGTTGTACTCTGTCCAATAGGGTCACTGTGAGTTCAAATCAACTTGATGGAAGTGGGATTGACGTTTGGTTTCTTTAGTTGGTTACTAAGTGTACTAGTCAGGGGAGCATTCAGCTATAACACACAAC